TGGAAATAATCTTATCTACCACAATGTGTTGCAGTGAAGCCTAAGTATAACAATGTGTACAGAAACTAACAGAGTCAGGCACACAGTAGGAGCTCAATGAATGGTAGTTCTCCCTACTTGATCAGAAAGTTCTCTTGCACTGGTCCTCCTAATCCCTATCCAGGCCCTCCCTGACCCTCTCTACTCTTGTAGATATTTCCAATATTGGCTGTTCCAAAGCTTCTCTACTGGAATTATTCAGAGTTTGAGAAATTGGGTAATGGTTCTTTACCAGCCCTAATGAGGTAACAATATATCATGTAAAAAATGTACATTTAAAAATATTTTTCCTTCTACCTTATAATTCCCTTTAGTCACCTCAACCCACATTAGTCAAGCGTTACCTTCATAAACCTGCAGAATAGTATGCAGAAAAAAGGGTCAGAGCAGTAAAGAGAAGCATAACCTACTCTCCCGATCCCTTTCCTTGCACCTCGGGAGAATGAACCAAATCCTACAAGAGAACTATACTGAGTAGTCCTCTTAGGTGACCGGACATGAAGCAAGCAGTACTTCTCCTGAGTCAACTATGCAGAGGCACAACCACCTGGCACAGACTCAAATGTGTATTAGAAGCAAATCCCCATCCTTCCCAAATATATACCAGAGGAGGGTTACTATGGTTGGGTTGGAGGGAGAAGGTGAACCCCTTCAACTACCTCTCTTTCTTGACTCTGAAAGTTGATAGAGAACAAGTGGTATGAAAGTGCAGGCAGCAAATGTACACTCTCTTCCACTTATCCTTTCCTAACCACCTCCAATCTCATGTATGATTCTACATTACTAAAATGTATACTGAAAGTTAACTGATCATCTTCTACTGGACAAAGGGGCTTGTCTGAATTCTCATCCTCCCCAGTTTCTCTGTGGTGGAGCATTCAAAACTCTCCTTCTGTGTCTGATGAAATGCAACATCCTCCTGATTCCCCACTTTATGGTTGTTACTTTCTCTTCTCTGTTTAGGTGACATCCTTAGTTCTCTGTTAATGAAAGGAAATGACTCTCTTATCTTTTCCCTCCATACATTCTCCCTCAACAATTTAATCCCTTCCCTTGCTTCCTATTCTCTAAGTACATACAATCTGAAAAAACCTTCTCCCAAACTCCATTCATGATTTCAAGATCCACAGCCATTTCCAGTTGCCTAAATATCCTGCCTTACCATATACACAAAACCACTTCTATCTTCCACCCCAACCCACTATCCAAGAAGAAACCATCCCTCTCTGGATTTCTTATTTATATTAATGACCTCATCATTTTCCTAGTCATACTTGCTGGAAACGAGTGTCATCTTTGACACTTCCTTCCTTCTTTCTAATGTTCCAAATACATTTAGTTCCTAAATCCAGTAAACCGCACCTCTGTAACGTCTCTCCTATCCTCCTATATTCCTCTTGCCACTACTTCAATTCAGATTTCTACCATTTCCCACACAGATAACTCCAAAGACCTCCTTAATTGGTGTCTTTTCCTATAGCCTTCCTGTTGCTACATTACTCTTTCTAAAGCACATCCCTGGTCATGCTTCCTTGGTGAAAAACTTTTAGTGAGTTTTCACTGGTTAACAAATTAAATCCAAACTTCTACTCAGTGAGGCACTCCAGGCTTTAGACCTCACCTCTTTCCTTTTTATTTTACATATATATATGTGTGTGTGTGTGTGTGTGTGTGTGTGTGTGTGTATATGTGTGTGTATATACTGATATACAGTATATATACTGATATACTGATATATATACACATATATATTTATATACACACATACACACACACACATATACATACATACACCTATGTTAAGAGCCAAGAGGACTTTTCTCTTGTCCTGAAATAGTCCCTACATTTTACCACTGAGTACTCTGGCGTTTATGAACTTCCCTCTATCTAAAACACCTCTGCTTATTCTTTTCACTTTATACCCATTCTTCAAAGCTGAACCCAATTGCCATTTTCATGGATGTTCTCTCACGTCTGCCCCAATGGATAGTAATTCACTCCCTTCCTTAAAACCTTTTAGCATTTTATACGTATTTCTGCATCTTTGCCTGTGGACATGTTCAGAACTTACTATCACTTGAAGTTGCTTTTCTCTAAAATCTGGAGCTCTGAAATCTCCCTCTCTAATCAAGTTTTCCTATTCTTCCCCGATTCCACTGATTGCTGTTGAGTGTATTTTGCACTCACAGCAATCTTTGATTTTTCAATTAGCAATAATCTATGATACAAAAAACTATCCTCCTAGTCTACTGTTATCTTACATTACCACTTGATCATCTCCCCATCCTAAATCCCAATGACAGTATGTTAACAACAAGGATATCCATCTCTACCTGGATATTCCACAGACACCTCAAATTCAGCATGACTGAAACTAAATTATCTCCCTCCCACAAACTTACTTCTCTTATGCTTTCTAAACTAATTAAACAATCTTAATCCCTTACTCATTGCGTATGTTCAGTCACTCACCAGGATATACTGAGACCATCCCTCAATCTACAAATTCTTTGTTCCCTCAATTAACATTGCTAATGAGGATCTCATCACTGTTTATCTAACCAGTCCTTTTGCCTCCAGTAGTCCCTACCTCCAATTCATCTTCTATTACAGTAGTTAAATAATCTTTCTTAAACACACTGACCTAAAAGTGTCACACTATCCAGCTTAAAAACCTTCCAGGGTTCTACATTCCCTATAAGACAACATCCAAAATCCTGAGCATGGCATTCAGCACAGATCCTAGGTTAAAGACACTGAAACACACTGTCTTCTGCTTTCCTGCAATCACTATTACATGGTGGTTGAACAGTTTTCTCTCAAGACTAGTTCACTTATCCTGTGAAGACTGCATCATACATCAGACCCCCTTTCGCCACCTCCCAAACAAAGTCTCAGTCCTCCTCCTCTGTATTTCTACATTACGTTGTTCATGTAACCAGCAGACCTCTTAACACACTACATTACACATGTACTCACTGGTCATCCTCCTCCAGTCTGTGGGCTCTATAAAACAAGCTTGTTTTTATTCATCTTTACATCCACAGGATCTAGTATGGCACACAAAAAAACTTTCAACAAATGTTTATGAAATAAATAATTTCAGAATGACTAAAATCAATCTACCCTGGGTGCTTTATCAAATGATTTAGGGTAGAAATGGTAGAAAAGTACAAGTGGGTCCTAAATATATAGGTGAAATGAAATGAGAGGGTGATTCCAGAGGTGAGGGCAGGAACAGTAGAGCCACTGAGATTATGCTTCTCTCTTCACCCCCTTTTCCCACAGATTGTTGAGCCACGCGAGAATAACAGGACTACAAGGAAGAAGCAATCAAGCCAGCAGAGAGGCAGAAGAAGGAGTGAGCAGGGAAAAATAAAACCCTAAACTGAAGCTGCAGAAACACAAGTGTCTAGAGTCACAGACTACACACTTAGGGCTTGTTAGCAGCTACTCACTATCATCACCATCAATGCTTCACCACCCATAACTACGACTACCATTTACTGATCACTTACCTATCACGCACCAGACACTATGCTAAAAACACCACACATACCATTTAATGTCCATGACAACCCTATCAGCAAGGTATTATTCATACTTAGAGACAATGAAACAAACCTAGAAACTATCAAGTACACTGCCCATTAAGTACACTGCCCAAGGTTTCGCCGCTAATATGGTAAGTCACAGGGCCAGAATGTGAACAAGGATCAGGCTTCAAGACCCATTCTCTTTCTGCTCTACTATTCATGAGCCAGGGTTTACATAAGTTGGGGACTGGCTTTACTGCTTTTGCATTATTTAATTATCTTTGTAAGCATATGCCTTATTTTCTCTAGTACTAAGAAAGGTATTTTTGAGGGTAGAGTCCATGTCTAATATTTTTTATTTCTTTCCTAGCATCTCATAATCAGCCTTCCATATTTGATTAATTTCTTACTGTACTTATGTACTAGCAGAAATAAAAGGGAGGTATATCAATCTTTAGTTAGCATGAAGCCAAATACAAAAATTTAACTCCTTTGACAGCTGTATGTGCCAGAGTAAGTCATCAATAGTAATAGGCCCCAAAACACAAACCACAGCTACAATATTAAGGTTAGTTTATGTTTGATATAATAATAAAAATGCTATTTAAAATATATTGCTCTTTTCTTCATATCTGGGCATAAACATAATAATTACTAGGAGTAGTCACACATTGTATCAAGCACACAAACAACTTACTTAGATGTGGAAATAAAAATGCTTTAGGTAATGGTAAAACCTTTTTTATTTTTCTTTTAGAAAGATATAAAAACACTTGAGAGTGGACCTGTATCTTCTACATAGGTTGACTTCTAATGTCAATGTCAGCACATGAGGCAAAAATCAACAGAGGACAAAAAAAATCCTTGAAAATTCCTTAAATTTCCCTTAAAGTCTCGTACAATACAGTACCGGCTCTCAATAAATCTATCTCAGACAGTTTTTCCTCCTACATGGAAGAGATCACCACTCCTTCTGCTTCATGCCACATGAAGTATCTGGCTCATGTTAGGGCCCATACTGAATGAAAAAGCATTCATTTACACACTAGAATCATGTTCAACACTGTGAGATTCTTAGACCACATCAGTTCCTGTAACAGGTATTTAGGAACTGATTCCATCTGAGACAACAGCAGATTCACACTTCCCATCTTATGATTGTTAGGCATATGTTCATTATGAAAATAGAGCTAGAATTACCACTGTATTTAAATTATTTGGTGTTTTGCTTTTGGGTGTTTTGGTTTTAGTTTTGGTTTTTGGCTTGAGCCCAAAGATTTGAATTTGAATAAATTATATTCCCAGAAATGCGACCCTACTATATATGCTATCTCTTATTTATTGTACAACCACAGACACCTAGAGTTTTAGAAACAAATAATCAAATACTATAGTGTAAAAAAAAAAAAACGTAACCTATCTTACCTTCATCTATTGATGCTTCGCTACTGTATCCATCATACTCTGCAGAGAGAGGGCTATATTTCTGTCTTGTTTCCCAAGTATAGCTCTTTTGTCTAGAATCTGCCAATGGTAGTCTGGAATTGTGTGTTCTGGATAAGGCCTCATGATATTTACCCAGTGCTTCATCTTCACTTTCAGAGGATGAACCATGCTCATCTTTGTCAATGTAGGAATTATCTATTTGGAACGACAAGGAGAGCAGATCAAAATATAACGCAATAAAACGTAGTGAATCTACTAGTTACATACATGTTACATGCTTATATATGTATCACATATATTCATACACACACAAATATATATATATATATAAACATATATATACACATACACACAATCTGAATTTTCAGCTTTAGAAAAATATTTTTTCATTTAAGAAGCCCAACCTTTAGATTTTTATGTTTTAATAGAAAAAACTGACTTGTATATTTGAATTATATAAATAATATTAGTTATAGGGATTTTCCAACCACGGTACAGGTAAACAGAGTAATAAGGCTCTCCATCTTACACAATTATTTTTAAAGCATCAGTAGCACACAAAGGAAGTTATAAGTATTGCCAATACATATGGACCTGATTCAAATAATTCATGCTACAAGAGACGTTTTTGGTTATCATCTTAGTCAAAATTTTCGTAACTGATGACACTCAGTGTTAGAAGCAGAACAAAGAAATGGACAGACATACACTATTGATGGAATTATAAGTGGTACAACTTTTCTAGAGAGCAATCTGGCTATACATATCAAACTTTCTAATCTGCATAGTCTTTGACCCATTTCTAGGAATTTACCAATTCCATTTCTAGGAATTCAGCCTAAGAAAATAATTAACAAGTGAGCAGTAATATGTATTTGAGACAATTTACTGCACTGTGTTTAACAGCAAAGGAAAACAAAAATAAAATATGAGCTAAATGTCCATTGCTGAGCCTTGGTTAAGTAAATTATGATACATCTATGCAATGATATACTATACAGTCATTAAAAATGAGGAGGTGAACTTACAAGTACTCACAGGGAAAGAATAACTACCACATCATGTTAAGAGAAAAGAGAAGAAAAGAGATTAACATACATATGCCTACATGCAACATATACACACATACATGCAGTATAAGTTTACACGTACATACAAAAACGTCTGGAAGCATATACACCAAGCTTAACACATTATCTGTGAAAGGCAGACTTACTATGAAAGTTCTACTTAAATATACCCAAATTTCAAATAAATTTTTCAGAAGGTAAATTAATTAATTTTATATTATTTTAAAAAGCACTAGTTATTACCATTTTTTAAGGTAAAAATTTTGAAACTGCATCATGTTGAGATTCATTTAGACCATGATGCAACCTTCTCAGAATTATAAAACAACTCTAGAAGGATAAAGAGACCATAGCAGTCAGAATTTATTAGTTCAGTCTAGATATTTCTCTCATTATACTCAGCTAAGATCATCTGCAGTAGAGGAATCAATGTTTGAAATTCAGGTGGGGAGACACAGAACGAGTAATTTTAAAATAGGGGATAGAAATTGAATGCTTACAGTTAGAAGTAAGGGAGCTTGGACGTCACTAGTCTAAGTCCTGCTTTTTAATTCAGCAAAATAAAACCATCAAAGGGTGAAACTATGACTGATGTTATATTCTGCAGTGTCCAATTTAGTAGTCACCAACCACATGCAGCTATTTAAACTAAGTAGCAATAATAAAATTTAAAATCTAGTTCTCCAGTGCTACTAACCACGTTTCAAGTGCTCGAGAGCTACATGCGGACAGTGGTTACTGTATGAAGCAATATAGATATGTAGAACTTTTCCATCATTGCAGAAAGTTCTATTGGAAGAGATGGCATCTGCTGAGATGGCAGATCTAGTCTAGAACCTAGGCATTCTGACTCCCAGGGTTTAGCACTTGTGGGATACCATGGTGGTGGTCTTAAGGCAGCAGGAGGGTAACTAGAAATTCACCTACTACAAAATATTACCTAAAGTAGCTCTGCATTCAGGAACAGAGAAGGAAACTCTTCTTCCTCTTATTATACCTTGTAAGCTCTGTCAGAACCTAGGACACAGGTACTAGCAACATTATAGTTCAGCAAATGAAGGGACAATCCATACGGGTCAAATAATTTTCAAAACGATTTTAGAACATAACATGTTTCAGTTTAGTACTGACTATAATCTAGAATACTTCAGAAATATTTGATTTCTTTTAGGTAGCAGCATGTTTCTTAATGAAAACAAATCAAAACAAAATTTAAAATTCTGTATTGCTACTGCAGTATTTATTACTAGCATCCATTCTACTGTTATTTTATGAATAAAATAATATGTAAACTATTCTACTTAATTTTATTTCTCTTTTCATTTTTGCTACTTCAAGTAATAAGGCTACCAAAACTAAACCAAGGCTACCAGAAAAACACTGAATCTGACATGCAAAAAACTGCTACAAGAATAGACTTCAAAATGGAGGTATTTCCAAAAATTGGCATTCCTTTTTAATTAGCTCATCCATCCTGGATCAGCCTCTATTATATCATTTAAAAAACATTCATATAATTGATAAATAGCAGACCCTATTATGCACAAAGTCATGTAGCAGAACGGAAACAGTCTTGTTCATTTCTACTGCTACTCAGTATTTTGGTTATTTTATGAGAATGTAAAATATACACAAAAATTCTGTATGTATCTTTTATAAATAAAAGCCAGTGTACTTCTGGCCTTGTGATCAGACCAGCAATGAATGAAAATGACTAAAGAATAACCAGGTGTACTAACTAGCGATATGAAGCAATTCTGCAACCAAAACCAAGTAACTGTCAGCTAATTGTTTTAAAAATTGTCACAAATATTGTGGATGAACACTATAACTGCTTAGCTGGAATCTTAATTCTACATAGAGAACTCATGAATAATAATAGATTGTTCACATATACACATTGGAAACATATGTCATATAAAACTCTTAATGTATGGCTAAATGAATAGATACATATCCTGAAGCATGTTATTCAGTAAGATAAAAATCTATTGCTCTCAAGGAAAAACATAAAACGTTTGGTACATTCTTAATAGGAAAGATGTGAAGAGCAACACGGTATAAAGGGCTTAAGGGTTGGCTACAAAAATATAAAATTTTTAAATCTAACTGTAGCACACCAAATAAATTCCAATTAAAGTATGCACACTACTTAAGAAAACCATAGAATTTCTGATTGTAAACTAAATGGGCATTAAGTAAAATTAAGGCCCTTAAAATTGGCCAAATAATGCAGGGACCAGGGGCAGTAACTAAATTAGAGGTATACAAATAGCATGAATGCTTTTGAAATGACTTTTGAAATGAGGAAAAACTGTATCACTTTAAAAATGTCTCCCAGTAAGAGGATTCAAGAAAGCCTTAAATTAGATACACAGACGTGTATAGAAAAATTTAGAAATTTGGATGTTTTCCTAACGTAAAAAATCAAGAGAAAATTTTATCACTCAAACTCACATTAGGAGACCTCACCTTTTTCTGGTATTATCTCAGAATATTTTTCATCTTTACTCTTTGCTGTTTCTTTTTTGGCAGAAATGGCTTCATTTTTCTTTGTTTTTATGTCTCCTTTCATTTTGTAGTATTTTGTTGGATTTATTTGTTCTTTGATTTTTCCATAACACTTACCTTTAGAATTAGTTGATGCTGCTGGATGTATGTCTTCTTTCTTAATGGATTTCTGTATCATATGTCTATTGCTTCCCAAAATACCTTTTGGAGAACATTCATTTCCTGAACACTTATTCCCTTTGGATCCTTTACTTTTAATATGTTTTTCAGCCTTCTTTAAATAATTTTCTTGCATTTCTTGAAATCTTACCTCCTTTAGGTCATGCTTACCATTATTGGAAATTCCTAATCCATATTTTCTACATCTGTCAGTACTTTCAAGTTCTTGACAAGTAGATCCAGCCCTTGCATACTGCTTGCTAACTGATATCCTACCATCACTCATCTGGCCTTTCAAAGAAGAATCACCAGCAGTATTGGTTTCTTGATATTTTGATAGCGTCTGTTGCCTATTATTAATATGTTTAAATACTCCTTCTTCATTCATTCCTTGATCTTGCTTTTGTGAAACTGAAGTATTATAGCTATTTATTCGATTTGCTTGGTGCTCTAAATCGAATTGTGTTTTCTGACAATTAGTGTTTTTAGAGACTTCTGGTAACGTGGTATTTTCTCGTTTAGAAGTATCTACAGCTTCTGTTGCTGCAGGGCTTTCCTCTTCTGGGCGGAAGCCACTTATCATACTTGCTACCTGTTCAGCAACCGAGTCAGTGAAAGCATAGCTGACTTCCCCCACAGCAGTGGTCAAATCTTCCACAGCATTACTGATTGTGTCCACCAGAGAGGACACTGAAGGCAGATTCTGCTGAAAATTTTTGAAAAATGCCATTTTCTAATTCCTTGTTCCTAAAAGGTGCAATAATGGAATTTTCTCTTCTCAAAAAATCAACCACTTTCAAGTCTGAATTTAACATTTACTTAAATGGTGCTATTCATTAGCCCAATATCAGTATTTCACATTGTATCTTTTAATTTTTCTGTAAATGCTTATGCAATGGAAGAAATATGTTGAAGTAAAGACGCTTCAAAAAAAAAATCAAACCACTTGGTTTAAACGTAATGACTTTTTCCCACTCCACAGCTATCATAACAGCAGCAAGACAATATTTTCCCCTCAAATACTATTGAGTTTTTATTCTATACCTGCAAGAAGAAGTATAAAAAGGATTTTTATTATGTACTTTTTAGTTTATTTATTAATAGTCTATGTATGGGAACTACCCTATCTTATTAACAAATTACCAATATCATTTCAAAATAAAAAATATATTAAGGGTTTCCCCTATATATTCCCCTAAATATATATTTGTTTACATATCTAAACAATTTTGCATAGAGGTTAGAATAGGGAAGAGCAGAGGGTGAACATTTGCAGAGTTGCTATTATATGTAAGGCAATGTGATTCACAAATTTTATCTTACTTGATATTACAATAACTCTAGGAGGTAAATATTATTATTCTTATTTAATAAGTGAATAAGAAACAGCCTCAGAAAAATTAATAAGGTCCCCGACACCTTTCCAATGGATCCTCAAGGTCAAAACTATTTTTACAATAAGAGTAAGAGGATATGTAACTTTTCACTTTCATTCACTCACAAATGAGCACTTGGATTTTCCAGAGGCCATATGACAGACTGAATGCAGAAGCAGATGTGAGAATCCAGTTGCTTCCTTCTGTGCCAGTCATTAAAGAGATTTGCAATGCAAAACAATGTCACTCTTCTCACCAAACTTTTTTTTTTTTGGTTTAAGAAAATATATAGTTTTTAAAATTAATACATTTATATTAACATGTAATAGGCTTATTGTTGGGTTTTTTAAAATAAATCGATAAAAATATTTTAAAATTTTCTTAGCCTTTAACTCTAATTTGGTACATACCAATAGCTATAACTCACATAAACAAAAGCTCTTTGGGGTCCTCAATAATTTTTAAGAGTGTAAAGGGATAAGACCAAAGAAAAACCCAAAATGCTAAAACACAGAATTACTGGAGGCTGCTAAAAGAGGTATCTTTAACCAGTTCATTCTACACAAATGATGAAAAAACAGGACTGAAGTGACGTATGAGAAACATTAAACTTGATCAAACCAAAACCACATAAAGTACTATAGTTTCCTAATGCAAAAGCTGCATGATGTAATTCGATAATAAGATTTCCATAAACAATGAGGCTATCACTTTTTAAGTTATCAGAAATAAGAGAAAAGCACCTCTTCAACATATATTCATGGACAAGAAAAGCACGGTTTCTCTTCTATTGTTCCTTAAAATTCTTCTCAATTAATGTCTTACTTGTACAATTTTCAACTTGCTCCTGCTATCATTTATAGGAGTCTTTGGAAATAGCAAATAAAGAACTCTTGTAATTATTTTAATATATAAAATGTTTTCATAAGAGAAAGAACAGTTTCACAGCCCTCACCTTTCCTGCTATCTAGTAACACTAAGTCATATAGTATGCCTGTGGTGCCAAGGGAGGGAGAGGAACACTAATTTTCATAATCAGACTTTATACACTAAGTTACCAGGGAAAACCACCTTCTCCAAACAATAAAATTATCCATCACTGAGAATTCAAGAGCACGTAAAGATAAAGGGTGAATACTTTCAAAAACCTTCTAGGGACACGGGAAAAAAGCTCTCTAGGGAACTATTTGGACAATGGATTAAAGCATAAAATGTAATAAGATATGTCCTTCTTAAAGCATATCTGTTCATATAACAGGCTCAAAAGCATACCTTATATTTGAAAAATAAAAGTGTCATTCAATGATGGTATACAATTCATCTTTATGCACTATGAGAGCAATTCATGGGCAATAAAGAGATAACTGAACATAATTTACTTAATACATCTACTCTCAGAATAGTGGCTCAAGGTTAGTTTACTATATGTCAAAATCAAGCTTTTTATTGTATATATATATATTTTTTTTAAAGAAAGTAATAAATAGTACAGACAGAAAGACCGAACAAGGGAAAGCAGTGATATGATACTTACAAATTTTATCTTGTGAATTCTTTGTACCGTATCCTGAACCAAGATCTGGAAACCCGCCAACATTTTCAAAACAGAACTTCTTATTAATATAGAGAAAAAGGAGCAGCATCAAGATAATAAACACCCCAACAGCTGACAAAAATCCAACTGCCTCTGGAGATACTAGAGGGGAAAAAAAGTCACAGCTGTAAGCATTTTTTCTTCTTCAAGTTACAAACAAGAAGGAAACCCCTATACATGTGTTAGATTACTGCCTTATTTGAATTACGTTTAAAAATTTTCATAGTTCACAACAGTTCAGTTTATAAGAAAAACAAATTGCACAGTTTAATGAGTTGTTCAATTTATTCAAGAGTATTAAAATCTTCTAAAACTTTCCCTATAAATTATGTGGGTACAATCTTAAAAGACGAGTCTATAAAAGAGGCAGTTATCATATGTTGAAAAGAGGCAGTTATCATATGTTTAAGTCCATTGAAAAGTATTACAAAAATTTTAAAACAAGAATTAGAAAAACTTATTTCCCAAGCACAGGTCTATCACTTAATCAAATTTATGAGAATGTGTATTATTCTTCTTATCTCTAAAAGCTTCAATGGCCTTTTTTTGTTAAACAAACTCTGGACTTCCTGACATTGAAAGCTGCAGCCTCTCTTTTCAATATTACACTCCAATCAAATGATTGCACTCACTGCCTCAGAATCAGCTATATGCATTACCCCATGCCTTGTTTTTGTTTGCCCTCTTCCCCTTGCCTGGAGTGACCAAGTGTCCTCTCTACCAAATCCCACTCATTCATTCAACCAACAAATATTTTTGGAGTAGCAGCCATATACCAGGCATTATCACATACCCATTTCCTGTCGTCCTTGAACAGTCTAGTGAAGGCAGTTACAACATGGTGCAATAAAGGTTATGATTGGGGAAGAACAAGGACTATGAGAACTATAGAAATACTTAACCCAGTGTTGAAGGATCAAGTAAGCTTTTCTGAAAGTAATGGCTGCTGTGATTATATTTTAAGAATTATTAAGAATTAGCCAACTTAACACTATTCCAGGCAGAAAAAACAGCATGTGCATATAGACACAGGAGATCACGATATATTCCAGAAACTCCATGAAACTTTGTTATGATGAACTACCAGGTTCTCAAGAGAATCTGATCTCAAGAGAATACATGAAATCATCCAGGGAGATCTGGTAGAGTGAGAACAGACAAAACCTTCTCCAACTTCTCCAATCCTCAGCAATCTCTTTTCTTTCAACTTTTGCATTATCTCTCTACACCAGTCATTTGGAGTTAAACAGGAACTAAATTTTTCTGTCACCAGTGCCTTCCATATAATACTCAACTATTAGTTAAGAATGAATCTTAAGCCTCAAATATCCCCTACTCTTTCTTCCTCCACTGCTCAAGCAGCATCTAAAATGTCATCTCCTTCAAGATTTTTCTTTCAATCAGAAGAGCCATGACAATTAGCATCTAGCTCATTTGTTAAAAATGAAGTCACCCACCAGTCAATGATGAGTGCTTTAATCTCCTAGCTTTTCGTTATTTGTGAAAGCCAGGCATCCAGGTGTAGAACTGATATGACATTACAGCCTATTCAAAGCTGGCTAAGTAATATTGTCACAGAGGATGGAGCAGAGAATGATACTGTACGGGAGGGGCGATGAGGGTGAGCGAGAAGGTGACAGGAATGGTAAGAGTGCTACCAGAATATGAGGCTGGTGTTGAGGACCAGATCCTGCTATCAAAAACAAGAAGTTATGCCCAGACACTAGCCATGTATAATTGCTTTACAATGTTGCATTAATTTCTGCTATTTAACAAAGTGAATCAGCTATATGTATACATATATCCCCATATCCCCTTCCTCTTGCATCTCCCTCCCACCCTCCCTAACCCACACTTTTAGGTGGTCACAAAGCACTGACCTGATCTCCCTGTGCTATGCGGCTGTGTCCCACTAGCTACCTATTTAACATTTGGTAGCGTATATATGTCAGTGTTACTCTCTAACTTCTTCCCAGCTTACCCTTCCCCCTCCCCACATCCTCTACATCCTCTACATCTGCATCTTTATTCCTGTTCTGCCACTAGGTTGTTCAGAACCATTTTTTTTTTAGATTCCATATATATGTGTTAGCCTATGGTATTTGTTTTTCTTATTCTGATTTACTTCACTCTGCATGACAGACTCTAGGTCCATCCACCGCACTACAAATAACTCAATTTCGTTTCCTTTTATGGCTGAGTAATATTCCATTGTATATATGTGCCACATCTTCTTTATGCATCTGTCAATGAACACTTAGGTTGCTTCCATGTCCTGGCTATTGTAAATAATGCTGCAATGAACATCTTTTTTTTTTTTTAACATCTTTATTGGAGTATAATTACTTTACAATGGTGTGTTAGTTTCTGCTTTACAACAAAATGAATCAGTTATATATATACATATGTTCCCATATCTCTTCCCTCTTGCATCTCCCTCCCTCCCACCCTCCCTATCCCACCCCTCCAGCCCATCACAAAGCACTGAGCTAATCTCCCTGTGCTATGTGGCTGCTTCCCACTAGCTATCTACCTTACGTTTGGTAGTGCGTATATGTCCATGCCTCTCTCTCGCTTTGTCACAGCTTACCCTTCCCCCTCCCCACATCCTCAAGTCCATTCTTTAGTAGGTCTGTGTCTTTATTCCTGTCTTACCCCTAGGTTCTTCATGACATTTTTTTTTTCTTAAATTCCATATATATGTGTTAGCATACGGTATTTGTCTTTCTCTTTCTGACTTACTTCACTCTGTATGACAGACTCTAGGTCTATCCACCTCATTACAAATAGCTCAATTTCATTTCTTTTTATGGCTGAGTAATATTCCATTGTATATATGTGCCATATCTTCCTTATCCATTCATCCGATGATGAACACTTAGGTTGTTTTCATCCCCGGGCTATTGTAAATAGAGCTGCAATGAACATTTTGGTACATGACTCTTTTTGAATTATGGTTTTATCAGGGTTATATGCCCAGTAGTGGGATTGCTGGGTCATATGGTAGTTCTATTTTTAGTTTTCAAGGAACCTCCATACTGTTCTCCATAGTGGCTGTATCAATTTACATTCCCACCAACAGTGCAAGAGGGTTCCCTTTTCTCCACACCCTCTCCAGCATTTATTATTTGTAGATTTTTTGATGCTGGCCATTATGACCAGTGTGAGGTGATACCTCATTGCAGTTTTGATTTGCATTTCTCTAATGATCAGTGATGTTGAGGATCCTTTCATGTGTTTGTTGGCAATCTGTACATCTTCTTTGGAGAAATGTCTTTCTAGGTCTTCTGTCCATTTTTGGATTGGTTTGTTTGTTTTTTTCATATTGAGCTGCTTGTATATTTTGGAGATTAATCCTTTGTCAGTTGCTTCATTGGCAAATATTTTCTCCCATCCTGAGGGTTGTCTCTTCATCTTATGGTTTCCTTTGCTGTGCAAAAGCTTTTAAGTTTCATTAGGTCCCATTTGTTTATTTTTGTTTTTATTTCCATTTCTCTAGGAGGTCCAAAAGGATTTTGCTGTGATTTATGTCACAGAGTGTTCTACCTATGTTTTCCTCTAAGAGTTTTATAGTATCTGAACTTACATTTAGATCTTTAATCCACTTTGAGTTTATTTTTCCGTATGGTGTTAGGTAGTGTTCTAATTTCATTCTTTTACATGTAGCTGTCCAGTTTTCCAGGCACCACTTATTGAAGAGGCCGTCTTTTCTCCACTGTATAATCTTGCCTCCTTTCTCAGAGATAAGGTGACCATATGTGTGTGGGTTTATCTCTGGGCTCTCTATCCTGTTCCATTGATCTATATTTCTGTTTTTGTGCCAGCACCACACTATCTTGATTACTGTAGCTTTGTAGTACAGTCTAAGTCAGGGAGCCTGATTCCTCCAGCTCCGTTTTTCTTTCTCAAGATTGCTTTGGCTATTCGGGGTCTTCTGTGTTTCCGTACAAATTGTGAACTTTTTGTTCTACTTCTGTGAAAAATGCTGTTGGTAGTTTGATAGGGATTGCACTGAATCTGTAGATTGCTTTGGGTAGTATAGTCATTTTCACAATATTGATTCTTCCAATCCAAGGACATGATATATCTCTCCATCTGTTTGTATGTCGTCTTTAATTTCTTTCATCAGTGTCTTATAGTTTTCAGCAGACAGGTCTTTTGTCTCCTTAGGTAGGTTTAATCCTAGGTATTTTATTCTTTCTGTTGCAGTGGTAAATGGGTATGCTTCCTTAATTTCTCTTTCAGATTTTTCATCATTAGTGTATAGGAGTGAAAGAGATTTCTGTGCACTAATTTTGTATCCTGCTACTTTACCAAATTCATTGACTGGCTGTAGTAGTTTTCTTGTAGCATCTTTAGGAGTCTCTGTATAGTGGCATGTTATCTGCAAACAGTGACAGCTTTGCTTGTTCTTTTCCAATTTGGATTCCTTTTATTTCTTTTCCTTCTCTGATTGCTGTGGCTAAAACTTCCAAAACTGTTGAATAAGAGTGGCAAGAGTGGACATCCTTGCCTTGTTCCTGATCTTCGAGGAAATGCTTTCAGTTTTTCACCATTGAGAATGATATTTGCTGTGGGTTTGTCATATGTGGCCTTTATTATGTTGAAGTAGGTTCCCTCTCTACCTACTTTCTGGAGAGTTTTTATCATAAATGGGTGTTGAATTTTGTTGAAAGCCTTTTCTGCATCTATTGAGATGATCATATGGTTTTTATCCTTCAGTTTGTTAGTATGGTGTATCACATTGATTGATTTGTGTATACTGAAGAATCCTTACATTCCAGGGATAAACCCCACTTGATCATGGTGTATGATCCTTTTAATGTACTGTTGGAATCTGTTTGCTAGTATTTTGTTGAAGATTTTTGCATCTATGTTCATCAGTGATATTGGCCAGTAGTTTTCTTTTTTTGTGACATCTTTGTCTGGTTTTGTTATCAGAGTGATGGTGGCCTCGACAGATGAGTTTAGGAGTGTTCCCACCTATTTGGAAGAGTTTGAGAAGGACAGATGTTAGCTCTTCTCTGTTTGATAGAATTCACCTGTGAAGCCATATGGCCCTGGGCTTTTATTTGTTGGAAGATTTTTAATCACAGATTCAA